GTATAAGATATAGTAACTCCTACTGATGAATAACATTAGGTGGTAGCTCCACTCTATAGTTAAAGAAATGGAAATTTTAAAAGTTGAGAGTCTGAAATTAAAACTTACTTGTACTGATTTCTAATTATGGTACCTTTTTCCAAAGAGGATTGGGCTTACTTGCATAAGATTTATCCAGAACTCCAAACACATGGAGACACGGCCAGAGAGCTGAAGCAAGGCTTTGAAAAGTAGATATTCTATCATGTGGGGTCATGAAATGTTGATACGGGCTTTGGAGAAATGCTTTGGTTCTAGAAAAGCAATGTGCCAGTTCTTCAGGGAAGCCAACTTTTTACCCAATCAAAAAAAGTTCTCATTGGGGAACATTACATGATGTAATGGATACTGTCTTCAGCAATAGATTTTGTATCTCATGCTTCTATGTGCCTGTGAATTTTGTATTTTTTAAACCTTTTAGTCAAAGTCAATTTCATAAGGGTAAAGCACAGCTTCGTGAGAAGCAATAAAGACCCACTCAGGTTGTGACATTGGTTTCTGACACCCAGGGAGTGAGTACCTGAGGAACAAGGTGATGTTCAGCCCTTTAGGTTGCTTGCTTTTGAACAGGGAGCTGTGTTGACTGAGCTAAGGAGTTGCTGTTAAAAGCTAGGGTGGTGAGTTTTGGTGCTGATGATGCTAATTAAAAGATAGAAAATAATAATAAAAAAAGAGATAGTATAAGCTTTGGAATTTCTACACATGTCAGAATGGTTTATGTTCTTTCTTGAAGCCAAGAAATAAATCAGGGTTTATTTGACCCAAGTGGAAGGCTGTCTCTCTGCATCTTTGGTTCTCAGGCTTTGCTAGGTGTAGGGATCACCTGGACAGTTTATTAGAGAAGTAGACTCCCTGACCACATCCTCAGGGAGACTGATTTATTAAGTCTGAGATGTAGCCCAGGAATCTGCATTCCAAAAGTCTCCCAGGTAATTAAAACATAACTAGTTCTTCAACCGTCTTTTGAGAAACATAGGTCTCAGATGAAAGATCATAGGGAAAAAGAGCATATTTAATTTTTTATATTTTAAATCTGCTAGGAAAAAAAAGCCAGAAAAAAAGAGAGGACAGGAATGGTGTGATCAGCCCCAGTCCCTATGCTTCAAGCCTTCAGCCCTCATTTCTTTGATTTGTCTACCCAGAGAATATTTTTGTCCCAAATTCCGTAAACTTAGTAATATTCTAAAGGAAAGGTTT